CATTAAGGAAGAGGAGGCCTGGCAGGGAGGGTGTGTGTGGGGGCATGTAGGGGTGCATTTGTAGTATCTAGTGAGTCTGTGTATGTGTGTGTGTGCATGTAAAGAATATAGGAGTGGCTAATCATGGTGCCTGTATGTTGGTGTATGTGTGGGTATGTGATGCATTGTTTGTGTCTGTGGGGGTATGATGGCATATGTAAATGTGGATGGTACCTGGAGGGTGTGCTGTGTGTAAAAGATGTGTGTATGTGGTGATGGCATGCGGGATGGTGCTGTGTGTGGTATCTGGGGTAGGAGGTGTGAGGTATGTGATGTGTGTGTGTGTGCGTGCGTGCCAGGGACAGACGTGAGTTATGGGACACTTGGTGGTGTGTGTTGTCTCATGTGTATGGTGTATGTGAGATGGGTGTGTGTAAGGAATTATGTGTATAATGTGTGACGTGTATGGTGTCTGTGTTGTATGTGAGATGTGTGTGAGGGGTTTACGTATGTGTGATCATGGGTGTGTGTGTTGTAGATGAGAATGGGTGTGACCTTGGAAGGGATATATTGTGGTTAAAAAGTGTGGTGGTGTACAGGTGTGATATCTAGTGCGTGTGCTGTTGATGTTTTATATCTCCTTTCCAAAGAAAGCAGATTCTCAACCTCAGAAGAACGGGTGAGCGTGTTTGAAGTGGCCTTGCCTCTCATCAAAGGTGGGGGGTGTTCCCCAGGCCCTGCAGGTCACTTGGGTTCTGGCCCCTCTGATTTATAACCATGAGCCCTGGTAGCCTAGTCGTTATGAATGCGCTGGGCTGCGAACTGCAAGGTCAGCAGTTGGGAACCGCCAGTAGATCCATGCTCAGAATGGGAGGCTGTCCACTCGCGTCAAGAGCGCCAGTCTCGGAAACCCACCGGGGTCGCTCTAAGTCAGCATCGACCCGCCGTGGATTTCAGCCGACATTTCCATTGCAGGCAGATGAGGACCCACTCCGCGGGTCACAGCAGGGGACGGCCCAGTGCTGGGCTGGATGAGCCT